CTTGTTCCTTTGCGGACTGCATGAAGGCTTCTTCTGTTGCTTAAAAGACGTGTGAACGTTCAGGTTTTAAACCTCAAATCCTGTTTTTACTTCAGAAGTTGATTGCACAAGCGGACAGTGAATGAGTGTCTCCCCATTTCCCTTGCGGTCAGAGAAGATCCTATTCATACTGAGCTTACAAGCAAACACTTCCTTTGGTAAGCTTCCCATGCAATTCAATTCATGTGCGTGCTTTCAAGCTTTGTCTTCAGGTCTGGACTAACATCAGAGCAAGTGAGTGAGGCAGGCTCTCTCCTCAGCCCACTGCAACGCTTTCTGCAGCATTTTGAAATGATGAAACACACGGAGTGTCTGCATGTTGCTTCAGTCCTGTTAAGTCACTGAGATTACTCCCGTGTCAAGAGGCTAAGCATATACAGGGGTATCTACTGGACGATGTATACGCATCCCAGCATTTTACTTGTGAGACAATCAATCTGATGTTTTTACTTCTTATAGTTACTGGCTGGCAGCCTAGAATCCACTGGCACCTACACATAGGATTCTCCTCTGAGCATTGCTGTGACCATGTCATGTGTTTGAAATAATATGTATTAACAGTAAGTACTTTACAACCAGAAAATAAATCATTATTTATGGAAAACCTGGAATTTGCAGTCAGTACTAGTCTGTTCTTGTCGTGAGGAGCCATCAGCTTAAGATTTTGGGTGTAAAAGAGAAAAGAAGATCTGTCCTTGGATTATTCTAACATTTTCCACTACAGGAAACCCCTTTCCTAGCTGCGTCTTCTTCACTGTACAACAAAGCATTATCCATTATGGAAATGTTCAGTGAATGGACCACACAGTACCTCAGGATCCATACATGGAGATTTTTAGGGAAAGTAGAGATTAACATTCAGTTTAAACAGCAGTGGAAGTTAATCAAGTTGCACAGTGAATTCTAAGCTAGTTTTGGCCACAATACTAGAGCTCTTCTTGAGAAAAACGTCAGAAAAAGGTACTTGTGACCACAGGCAGGTAAGACCTTTGTCATCAGCCACTCATGAGGAAACATGAGTATGTCCAAGAGGACATTGTCTAAAATAAGGCAGTGTGTTGGCCTTGGCTGTTGAGTCATCGGTATCACTTCCTGCAACCCTTGCTTTTGCTCCGGGTATTTCTCAAGGGAGCACTGACTTAGCCTAGTCTTTTTGATTCTTCTAGAATGAATAAGATCACAGCTCCAGAGCAATAACGATGAATATGCCCTTGATTCAGAGGAATGAGCGCACAAGTGTGCTAAATCTTCCATGAGATGCCTGCCTGATTACTTTTTAACTTTCCACGTCATGGCTCCCCTGATTTGAAAACTTCAGAGTCTCTAGTTGTAAAATGGGGAATTCTGCTTCACAGGGAGAATCTGTTCAAGTGAGAGAGCTGTGTTAATGACTCCTGCCTCAGGGTACCACCAAAAGCTGTTGCATATGGATCTCTCTTGCCTTTTCTTTATTTTAATGTTTGATTAGATGTTTCTTTAATCACTCAAAATACTATGTGGAATTTCTGTTCTCTGTCAGAGACAGACCCTTCTCAGCTACACTGAGGTTTGCTGCATTTGTAAAGCACCTCTTATGGAAAAAAATAAAAAAATTAACCTCTGAGTTTCTTTCCTTAAATATTGTTGCAAAATTTCTGACGTCAAACAATGAGACACAAATTACCCTGTGAACTGTTAACATATGCCTGTTTACATATGATATCTTATAGCCAAAACAGATTAAGATTTGAAGGTTTAACTGCTGTTGAGTTTCCACTTCTGTGAATCATACAGATCAGCTTATTCATCACAGACGCTTATTTTTATTCTTTAACTCTTTCAAGCTACTTCTATCCAGAGCAGAGTTTATGGGGGTCATGGGACAAATGGGAAGTCACAACAGCATAACAAAGCCCTGATTTTGCAAATGAAAGAGCAAAGAGCTGCCAGTAACTACAGCCACCCCAAAGAATCAATAGCAGTTTATAACTTCTATCAGGTCAGTGGACAGGCACAGAAGCCTTCCCTGATTGCCAAGGCTAGTTTGTCCTTCCACCTAGTCAAGTGCCAGCTGCAATTCATGCTGGTGACCATGCCTGTAACATTTCCATTTTGGAAGGAAAATTACTTGTAAGAACCAACAAGAGATAACCAGCCATGAAAAATCAACAGGATGTCTCAAATTCCAGGTTCAGAGAAAAAAAATCACTCATCATATTAGGATTTCTTGGATATTATGATATAGTTTAAATTCAGAAATGCCAAACATTTTGAGGAGAACTTAATTGATTTCAGTAAATACAGGCAGTTTTCTTTAGCAGTTGAATCTGTGGTGCATCACTGATTTTGACGGGACTCATTTAAGTACTCTCATCAGCAATCCTAAGAGAGGTGCATGAAGTATTTGTCTTTTTCTGAATAATATGGCTGGGACCATACCTAAAAGCAGGTATCTCTGATGATAAAAGAAAGAAACCTACCTCTATTTAAATACGCGTCTCTTCACCTCATCTATGACTGTCATTAAAGCTAAGCAGGGAAGCGCTGCTGAATATCAGTCCATTTCCTTCAGCTGAAGACTGTGAAGGATTTCAGAATTCAGGCTGCACCTGCACTTGATGCTCAGGGTCTCTGATTCACTGATGCTGCCCAGCTCAGGCTAACAAAGGAGGGCAGGAAGATCATGTACTTTGAGGCAGCAATGTGAACATTCAAAAATACCTTTCCACTTAGAGTAGCAATAAGAGAGTGCTTGACTATTTGTTCTCTTCTTACTTAAAGTGTAGCTTCAGGTCTGTTTGGTTTTTCTCCCAGCTGCATCATCTTAAGCAGGCAGTTCACTTTATTACCAGTGGATTAGCTAACTCAGCCTGAGTGCAGCTTCCACAAGGGCCATCAGCACTGCTATGGGTCAAGCCTCTCTCTTTTAAGTGTGACAACGAGGTGTAACTAAGACAGCAATCTCCCTTATAGCATTACTCATTGGAACATGAGGGTAATGACTGTATCAGGAACTGTAGCTATCTAAGGGTATACTGGTACAAACACCACACATAGCAAACCAAACCTGCTGCCACCAGTTTGTCGGCACAAATTAATCTGGGTATAATTTAGTATTTATGTTATGTGTTAGTGGAAGGCACTCTCAAGCATCCAGACACCTACACGAACTAAATTTGAGGTGCGACACTGTGGTCACATAACATGTATGTACATCTTTGCATCTTGGGAGACTGATTACCACCAGGGATTGAATTAGATCCATGAGGACAACATTCATGGACCTCTGTCAGAAACTGCAGAGATTGTTTAGCTACCGCAAGTTTCTGTTTCTGAGTGTTCTGCTTATAAATGGCACTGGAGTAAATTTAACCACTGACTTAAAGATTAAACAAAAAGCTATGAACAGTTGAACAGTTTAGGATATTTCCTCCCCCTCCTTTTTTTTTTTTTTTTTTTTTGACAAATGCTATCGTTAACATCTTAAAAACTATGGGTTTGAGACCTGAGATGTCCTAAAATGGACCTGATTTTTAAACATAAAAATACAAACAAGTACTTACTGCTCAACGTCCCTCCAGTCTCTTTCAGCTATTTCAGCTGGGCTTTCACAGACAGAAGCACTCATGATCACTGCTCAGTTTTGCAAAGATGGGCCTTTGGGGTTAGACCACATTATGAAAAATTACCCAGCTAATTCCCATGAAGTGTTTTGAACACAAAAGCTCAGTGCAAATAATAATGGTTCAGTTCCCTTTTTTAGCTATGAAATCAGCTTGCAGATTAATATTCTTCAATTACAAAATACCAATTTCAGTTTGAAGTGGTTTGCCCTCTTAAGTGCAATTGGGATTAATAACGGTCTACGAAAGGAAAGCTGTTAGCAAACAGTAACCCAGAGTGAAAAGCTTAGCATTTAGGTACCTTACCTACATTTTACTCTAAATGTCAGTTTGTAAATTCAGAAAAATGACCAAGGAAAATACTATCATCTAACCTGCTAAGGATCCCAAAGCTCAAAGAAACCTGTATTTTCTGCTTCACATTTGCCAGGAGATAAATGTCATCTGACCACCAAGGCAGCCTCTTTTACCTATGGCTATTTCTACTTCATATATGTAGTGCCTTATCTGCTAGATGTGTTCAGATCCATTTAGGTAATAAATAAGGAGTGTCACAAAGTTTAAGTCTTTTTTTGGATCTGTGCCCAAATGCATAGATATCCGAAGCTTATATAAAATGAGATTAACTGGTTTTCAGTTATGCTTACAATGTGTTCGTGTCATCTACAAATTAGTTATTGGAATAAATCTGTAAATACTTTGTTAGTCTCCTAACCTACAACATTAAGGTAAAGCCTCCCCGGGACTTCCAAATGCAAAAAGCCTGGAGTAAAAGCTTCTGAATCTCAAAAGAAAAGCCTAAGTTAGGACAGAGAGTTCAATTATTATAAGAACAAGGCCAAGATCCTCCAAGGTGGTAATTTTTTGTGTCCACACACAAGGTACAGATGTGCAGCCCTTCCTGCAAAATAGCTCCATTAAAGTTTCTTGAGAAACACGGACATGCTCCCAAGCAGGGTATACGCCTTGGGTAAATCCTTGGTCAGAGTGCCCCACTCCGAGTATTCCCACTAGTTACAGAGACACTCACAGAACTATCTGCAATATTGAGCAAAGCACTTGCTATTATGTGCCAGCAGAACCTGCATCTCTAATATGCTGAAAAAATTAGCACACTGACAAGGAAGGTTAAATGCCACAAAACATGTTTTATTTATTCAATGCAAGCTTTCAGAATTTCAGGAAGGTTAAAAAAAAACCAACAAAAAAACCCAAGTTAAATGGAATTCCTCATATTCGGCAGTTTAAAAAATACTTTCAGTTACAGCTGAGACCTTCAACTTTGCCTGTAATGAAACACTTTAAATAACAATCAGTTACACAACCTACTTACAATCAGCAGCTTATCTCACAAGACCTCTAATAACAAATTTCCTTTGTGGCAGCATCGTATCCAGCTGACTTCTCCACTGTTGACCAGCTTCGTTTATTCTGACTGTCAATCGCTCTTTTAAGTACTTCATCTGGCACAAGATCTGATCCTTTTAGATCAGCATGGCTACAGCCAATTTTAGGGCATCTGTTAAAAAGAAAAGAGAGACCCTATTAAATCAGAAGAATTGTATTTGTCAGATATAGGCTTTTACATGACATCTGCTGGTTTATTGTATTTATCTCAGATTCACTCTCTGTCAGTTCCTCGTTACCTCTTTTCCTCTTCACCAGCTCTCTGCGAGGAAAAAGAAATCCAATTATCTAAACTGGTGGGAATCAAGAGCTGAAGAAAGGAAGGAACACAGTGAGAGACAGAGCCTCTCACCTGTAGATCACTCTCTTGCTTCACGTATACAAGCTGGCTGTGTCAGGAATGATACTAGCATTGCATGGACATTTTTCTGTGTTGCTTTCTCTCTTTGCAGTCCTCTACAAACTGCAGCTAACTACCTCTTACCTTACTAATCTGCACTGGGAAGTATAATCTTTACTGATAGATAAACAGGAAAAATAATTTCTAGGAAAACAGATAAAGAGAATAAGACTTGCAAAGACTGACTGGTGAATCAGTGGATTATCTAGTTGGTGTAAAAATTTACCTGGTCATTTATGAACTGAGAAAGCACAGAAATGTGAGAGATGGAGGCAAACTGAAAGCCTCTAAATGATCATCAAATACAAAATGTCCTACAACTACTTGAAACAGCCAGATAAAGACAGCAGGGTGAAAGATATTCAGGGATGGGATCAAAGGTCATTTTCCTTTGGCAGTGGCACAGATGGTACCTGTAGTCAGAAATAACACTTTTCCCAGATTTTTTCTCTGTTAGGGATAACTTTTGTCTGAGGCACTGAACTTACACTCAGTACTCATAGCTTTTACTCCAGATTTGTCCACAGCTTGCTGTGTTTGTCATGGGTAAGTCACTTAATTGCTCTGTGCCTCAGTTTTCCCATTTATCACCTTGTAAGAGCAATAGCTTGCCAGATTAATGAATAACAAGCGCTCAGAAAGCTTCCCACATTTCCTGTAAGCACAGAGTATTAGTGTGTCCTTCCAGGCAGTGGAAAATAGTGAGCAAACCAAGACGTGTAGCAAGTCTATCAGCACAAAACCGATGGCTGTGCGTACGTCAGCTGGAGAGCTGACATTCAGCCAGTGCACTGCCAAGTGCATCAAAGGGATCCCATGGACTCAAACTGGAAAGTACGTGTGAGGAAACAGCCACTTCTGTAACTCTAGAATGAGCAACAGCTTCGATTTCAGAGTCAGGATAGAGAGGATCCCCCTAACCACAACTCTTGCTTACCCAGGTACCTGCTTCCATTTGAATATTGTTGCCAGGAGCGCAATCAAGTAGCAACACCATGGGAACAGGGTACTCAAATAGGGAACCTGTTGCATCAACTGGCCTGTCTTCTCACCACAGCAAACCATGGTTTTTAAAAACTGACTGCATTTTCACGAGAAAGGTTAAAAATTACAGCAGGTCAGTGAGATTGGGCAGAGAAAACCAAGCAGTCTTTCTTAACTTCATTACAGAGAAGCCAAGGTATTGCTGTGCTAGTGCTTTTCTAGCATACTGCAATAACTACTGTAAAAATTGTAAGGTTGCAAGCTAAAAACTCAAAATTAAGAACTGCCAGGATTCAGACTACACAAATAACTTCAGTTTGGGTATAAGGTAGCTTTTAAAGCTAGGTGTTGTACAGCTTATGTTATTTTTTTTTTACTCTCTATTTTTTCTAAGTCTTTAATCTCTTAAAAGGTAAAATAAAAATTCAGTCATGTCACCCTATTAGTTTTTCAGTAATGATGAAACTTTTGATTCACCACAACAGTCTCTACTACCATGACATTTTCCTGATGGATTTAACACCACAGAGAATTATTTAGATATGAACATCCTAAATTCAGTTCTGTATTGCAGAAGGTATTTTTGTTGTGGTTTTGGGCTTCTTAGCCTGTCCCTATCCTCCAGAATGTTCACTTTCTTCTCTCCAACTTGTGAGCTATTTCACAACTCCCATTCATTTTTCCAGCCAAGTTTCTGTCCATTCATGTTGATGGTTTTGTTGTTATTCCCAGTATATTGCACCCACTCCACTTTTTCTCCCTAGACCTCATAACACAGGCAAGGTACTCCTGGATTGTTCTTCAAGCTGTCTTGACACTAAGGTAGTGGCTGGACATCCCAGTTGATGCTTGATTTCACAGCAGTGCTTTCCTGTAGCCAGGAAGGAGCATGGAATAAGAAGTCCATCTCTGTATCCCCGTGGCAGAGTATGTATTGTCTAACAGAAATGCAAGAGCAACCGATGGAGGAAGTAAGCTGCCTGTGGCATTATCTTTGGGGAAATCAGGTTGCTCCTCTCTATCCTGACTCTGAAATCGAAGCTGTTGCTCATTCTAGAGTTACAGAAGTGGCTGTTTCCTCACACGTACTTTCCAGTTTGAGTCCATGGGATCCCTTTGATGCACTTGGCAGTGCACTGGCTGAATGTCAGCTCTCCAGCTGACAGACCTTGCTGAGCATGTGCAAACTGCACATTTATTGTAAAGTCCACAACTGGTAAGTTTCCATGAGGTTATCAACCCCAAAGCATGAGGCTCTAGCTTATATGGTGTAAAAACAGATGTGAAATTAATGATGAAATTGTATGCCCTCTAAACTTGATCTAAAAAGTGTTTCAGCCCCTTTTCTTCTCTGTCTCTTTTTTTTTTTTTTAATTTATTTTTTTTATTAATAAGAACCATCCTAAATTTGAAACTTACCAGGGAGAATTTCAGGTCTAAAAATTCAACTGTTATATCTTTTCACTCAAAAAAAATATGTCCTGTGTGGAAAGTGGCAGGCTGCTTTGATGATATAAAGTAAGAATTATTTAATTACATCTTAGTAGGAACTGCACAATCCTGTCTGATCATTCTTAAAGTCTGTACTACCTAAAACACTGTGTTTTATTTCTCACTTTAATGCTCATTTAAGTATTTTAATATTTCTCAGTTGTATCGAAATATAACTGCAAAAGAGGGTGCACAGAGGAGATGTTTATTCTTTTTCATTAACTTCAGAGTTTGCTAAATAAGCAGTAGGAACAAAATGAGCAACTAAATTTAGGGAGCTGAAGTTTCTTTTTGTTGTTCATGGCTATATGAAATCTCTTTGCTTCTGTTGTGCAGGTACCATGAGTAGCTGTAACTTCCCCACACACTTCCTGAATGTTTCCTTACACACTGTTTTCATTAAAAAGAAAAGCTCCTTCATGTGTACAGTACTAATGAGGAGATTGTGACTTGGGCAGACACTGAGGTATTACTTCCTGCAGCCTTGCCAATCCAAATACATTTCCTAGAACAAGTGGAGTAAAATTCCACTTACACAGCAAAGCAAATAGCTTTTCCACACATTCTTGTTAGCTTACCGGACTTTTTTCTTTTGCTGCTTTCGAGTCTGGATAATTTTTAGAATGGCGTCTTCTTCATAAGTATGTCCACAGACTTTGTTTCGAACTGGTCTCTTCATTTCCATCTGTAATCAATAAGGTTTGATTTAAAGGAACTGATAATGCCTATGAAAATGCTTCTTATGAGATTTCATGTAAAACAGCAGGAAATGTGTTTGCCATTCACACATGGCATTGCACTCAAATTACGGGGTCAGGTCCTGCATGGTAAACTGCACTCCTACTTACAGGGGTTTTTTTTTCCCAAGCTATGTTGTTGTTCTCTGATAATGCCTGTAATTTATACTGCCTGATTTTTAACAGGTATTGCAGATTTGCAATAAACAATCCAATGAAGAATATGAAATAATTATTTCCCAATCGATTACAGTAGCAGTGATAGCATACCTGTGTAATGGGACAAATAAAGTTCATCTGACTCTGAGTCACAGCTATATCTTCATCGATTTGTTCAATGGCCTCATTATCATTATCTGATTGACGACAAACTATAATGGGAAACAAGACAATTTTTATTTAATATTTAATACAAATAGCCAATACTTAAACAAATAAAATCCAGCATTTGCCAAGCTCTTACACACTGTTTTCATTAAAAAGAAAAGCTCCTCACAGTGATACCTCACAGTGATATCTAAGATGCCACAACATATTTCTGTACCACTCCCTGAACAAGATACTGCAAAAAATACTGCAGTATAGTCTCTGTTATAAAATGTGGATTTTTAAATGGTAACTACTTTTTTTGGGGGGGGGGGGGTGTGTGTGTGTGGCTATTTTATAGCCAATGCTAGAAAGGAGGGCTGGGAAGGAAAGCAAGCTGTCCTGAATATATGCAAATCCTCTCATATTCCCTGTTCAAGTTCACCAAAAACCAGTAACATGTAGATGAGTACCCAAAATCTAACAAAGGATGAAGTGGAGCTTTTGCAGATTTGGCCATCCTACCCTCAAGATCAGTTTGTGTTTGAATGTCATAAATGGGTTTGCCATATAGCCTGTATGCCCAGTATATACTTTAAAAGGAATTTGTACTATTTATCATAATGCATCACTTATAAAATGATGTCACTGTATTTTAACAACACTATAATTACTGAAAAAGAAAAACCAAGAAAGTGTCATTTGAGATGGACAATACAAATGTTACTGAAGTAACCTTAAGGAGGAGGGACAGAATGAAATACTGAAATCTCCCAGAAAATGCCCAATGCCAGGGAATGAGGGGCAGACAAACAAGAAGGTATCATGCTAGAGAAGATGCAGGTCCCCACCTTTCCCAGAAGCAGGCAAGGTGTAAGCAACTCTGCGTACCCAGGAGCATGCCAGCCCAGGGATCCATGCAGAAACTAATTAGCCAGAGTCAAAAGCTGAGACACAGGAGCAGCTAAGGAGGACAGATATTGCTAAGTATAACCTTAATAAATGTGTACAAGTTGTTTTATCTCTTCCTAGCTTTGCTGTGTTATTGTGAATCTAGGCTTTTAGTTCAATGCATTTGTTTATCTTTAAATCTTATCTGGTAATAATAGCAAACTTCACACCTGCCATAACTTTCCATTCCTTTGGGGTAGTTTTGCAATGTTTTTGCAGCAGTGCCCTGGGGTGTAGTCCTCAAGGTGTCCCAAGCTGAACAGAACATTTTTCTCTCTAGCTGCACAAGCTAGTTCGCAATGAAGCATCACAGGGTTCGGAGAGGATGAAATCCTGCAGTGGCCTGTGTTGGCTTTGACTGCCAAGGGGGCAGTGAGAAATACAAGTAAACATGGAGGGTTTAGAGTTACTTCATGATTTGCCTTCTACAAAGTCTCAGCCCTGGTTCCTCTTGCTGCTATCACACTCTATCAGCTGATCTTGGCATCTTTGCATCCCTGGTATTCAGTCTTCCACATCTGTTAAGGACGAGTGTTTCCTAACGTATGGTCAGTCCTGCATGCCTGTATCATACCATCACCTTCCGGATGATAAGAGGAGACATCACTCTTGGAGCAATTACAGTCTCTCACACCCAGTCCAAACTGAGCACGCTGCCATGTAAGCCAGCACATCTCTGGTTGAGGTGCTCTTGGCATCGGTATTGCAGCCATCGCTCCACCACGGCACGTCTCAGTATGCCAGTTTGATTTGCACGTTTTTCCTTTCTCCTTAACAGAGCTCGCCCTTCTCTCCATTCCAATATACCAAGAGTTTTCCAAGCACTCAGGAATTTTTCTGACCCAGGTACTCCTGCAAATACTTAGGCAATACTCACGCAAGCATCAAGGCTATTTCTGTTTCTATTACTAAGGCCTCACTCAGTCAATAGGGTGTGGATGCAGAGGGAAAAGGAGTTCAAATGTCCAATGTCAACAACAATTTTAAGGCTTTCATCTCCAAGAATATTAACATACTTTTATCAGAAGGAAAAAAGGGGCACATTTTAACTGTAAATACTGAAACTGCAATGATACAGACATGAGAAAAAGACTTGCATCAGTTCCTAGTTTTCAGAAAAGAAAACTTGTCACATATTATTCTCAGATTGCTTATATATAAGGTTTATTCTATCATAAACACATAGTATTTTGAAGAAAATACAACTTTGGGGTGAAAAAAGTGAGTTTTTATAATGAAGCTTTTGAAATACAAAGCAATGGGTGAAATCCCACTGAGACAGCAAGGCTAAACAATATTGCAAATATTGGCAGGTGCCAGCTTTGGCATGGGCTGCTTTATTTAAATACCATCCTCTGAGTAATGCCAACAAAGAACAAGAGATGCAGAATTTCATGTATCTGAAAATTTTTACATACTGCAGCTCTAATCTTTCCTGAAAAGCTGAAAACACCTGGAAACTCATATTTTTCTATATTGTACTTTGTTTCAACTCATGAACTTGGCACACAGTTGCAGTGTATCAGCACATCACACCGGTCAATGAAGTTACAACTCAGCAGGACTAGCAAGATCTAGGACAGGTGAATGTTTACAAAGGATGATTTTTTTGTTGTATATATATGAAGGTACCAAGGGAGGTGGGTACATTTTTAAAATGTGGGGCTTGTGCCTCTGATTTTACTTTTAAAGCTCAGCACTCCAAGTTAGGCATGAAAGTGGCCTCTTCTGGAAGAGTGTTCACCTCACGCAGCACCTTCTCACTTTGCTAAGGAGTCACCACTTCACTCATCACTTCTGTGTGTGCTTGCTTAGGTACCAACACAAGAATTTAGGAGATTACGTTGAAGCATCCAAGTTTGGAAGTATGAGCTCAAGCTTGGGTATTGGTGCTTGAGTCTCCCCTGAAGACCTCAGGTCTCTAAATTATGTGAGTTTAATCACAGGCTGGGTTTACCTCTTTCTTGTACCGGCTTTGGAGGTGATTTGGATGCTTCATGTTTAATGGTTGAAATTCCATGAGCTGAGACCCATTCCTTGTAGGTGGGATATATTAACCTTCCTGGATTCAAATTCTCCCCTTGCTGCAAGCATATCTTAAACACTTCAGGTTGCACTTCATTTGCAATGATTTTGTATACAGTCTACCAGAGTGGGGCCCTGGTTTCAAGAGGTTATCACAGCAGAAATGAATAATTATTTAAAATATTTCCTTTTCATAAGCAGCAAGTATTTTTTAATCATAAATATGCAAGACTGGGATGATGCAAGTGGTACCTCAAACATGTCAATACCAAATTAGCATAACTCAGATAAACCACCCACAGATTTATTCTTATTGCTTGATGTTCTAGATTACAGAGGGAGAGAGGAAAATAACTTTTTTCAGTTACAGTAAATTTTGCAGAGTTTACATAAGACACACATACATCCCAAACTGGTCAGTAAGATGCTCTAAACCATAGATCTATAACTGTAAACTCATATTGGAAGATGTTTTTATTAAAGTCAAAGGGATTTTTTACCAAATGAAATGTATAAAAGTTTGGAGGAACTAACTTGCAAGTCTGACTGTTCTACACAGCGAAGAAATAAAAACACCAGGTCATACATATTTCAGCTAAGTCAGGTTACATTTTTGTAAAATTGAGTTTTCCTTGCAAATTAAAACCAGATGCAGAAAACACTGAGTTATTGTTCCTGAAATTCAGATGTTGCCTTAAGTAACAGAAGTACATACATCTATTTGGTAATCTGAGAGATTATATTTTAAGAGCTTTAAGAGTTTCTAGTTTTCCATTCCAGCCAATTGAAACCTGTTATGAGTATTAGTAACACATTTTCTATCTGGCTATCTCAGCAATGATGTTTACAGCTAATTAGTGCCCACTGTTGTAATAAAACTGCATTCACATAAAGGTACCTATTTTTGGTAACACATGATAATGAATTTTGCAACTGCCAACTGATTTTTACTTATTCAATTTTAATTAAAAGCTGGTAGTACTTTACATCTCTATCACTTTCATCTCTTGATAAAAATGTGAGTAATATGCCTTAGCTCAGTTTTTACCTACTCTGCTGAGAGAGACTGAGAACTTCTAAGCCAACTTTTAAAAATAGTTTCTATTAAACAGAATATAGTTCTATTTAAAAATATAAAACTATAGTGCAGAGACATTAACTGCTATATAGTGGATTCTATTAAGCATGGATAGTATATATATTAAAAAAGCCTTAGGGGAAAGGTCCTTTCCATTGTCACTGTTACTTCTATGACATACAGACTGCTGTCTGCTCACTGCTTCCAGTGCCAACAATGTCCTCTACTCAATTCCTCTTTCTCTAACCTGGCCCTGAGTGAGTACATGTTGCAACGTAAACTTAATTGATTTCTTTCCTTTCGTGCTGCGCTGTTCTGCCTTCTCACCTGCCATCAGTCAGACACTAATCCCGGAAATCAAAGGGCAATGTTAAGCATGCAGGACTGAGTCTTTGTAAGCCTGAGCTACTAGACAGACAAGGTCTTGGCTCCCAAGAGGGTCTATTGTACTGCTGACTCTATAGAAATAACAGCAACTCATCCAGGCTGGGAAAAATCCTATCTCCGAGAGCTCCAAGAAAAACATGAATGTTATGAGGCCAAGTCAAATGCCAAGGGCTCCTGTCAGCAGGACACAGAAAATAACGAAAGGTGGGGGAGGTGAAGGACATCGTCAGATTCAAGAGTTGTATTCTAATAGTCAGAAGGAGTCTGGGGCACAGCCAGCATGGGGTGAGAGGACTAGTCTAAGGAGAGAATGAGTTCAAACGAAACACACTGAGGAGACCATCACAGGCAACACCTAAGAGTGGGTCAGCATGCCCATCAGTGCTCTGAATTTGGGTTAGACTTCAGATCCAGAGAAGCAGACCAGACCAACTGTCCAGTGTCCTGCCCTGGGATGGATCCACAGTAAATGCTACAGGAGGGGTGAAAGAAGAAGGGAAGCACAGAGTAATACCTTCCTGGCAAACTTTCCCAATATCTAGCAGTTTGTGGCCAAGGACTTCCTGAGTCAGAGGTAGTATCTTTGTACTTAATAAGCCCTGGAGTTTTCCTCCAATGAATTTGTCTAAACTTGGAGCGGGGAATTTGGGCCTGGACTTTTCAGCTTGATTAGAGACAGTTATCTTCACTAGAAAGGTTAGCAACAGTTTAATTTTCCTTGAAATGTACCGCAGAGGCTGCAGGTTATAGTTTAATTTGATTTTTAAGAGGGAAAATAAGGTGTGCAAGCTACAGCTGCAGTCAAACAGTTCAAAGGCTTTCTGCTTTTGCCAGAGGCATGCGATAGTTTAATTTGCCAACGAAGCCAAACTAGGTTTTGCATTAAAGTACATTACAATTTGATTACTTGCTGGTGTCGCAATACACAAGCTGATCTAAGGAAGGTGGCCTCTAACATGTTGCTCCAGATGACAATTGCAAATTTACTTGCTCCTGACCAGGCCAAGCAATTTGCTGGTAACTTACTGACAGGTCCCTTGTATGTGCTCTGTTTTACACATGCTCATGTGAGAAGTACATAGACATGCACTTGGACAATCCAGAGTAAAATGACAATCCTGTAAATATAAGCCATTCTGATTTTCCTGGAGTGTGAAAGACAAATTAGACAGACAAATTAGGAAATTGTTAGTTCCTTTGCATAATAACAGTTGGGAAGGAAAGGACAGTATCCTGCACTAAGCAACAATCCTCTAAAAACTCCTTTAATGCCATCAAATTCACAGCACTTGCATATTTTACAGTATTTTGTCCCACTGAGCTACAGGCCTTTCAAAATACACGATTCCAAATGGAAATACTGTTCCTGTTTTATCCTTCCACTACAGGGTAGAGCTGGTTGATGCCAGTTTTCCAGAATGACCTTAAAATGAAGAGAGACTATGATTTGATGGAAATGTAATGGGACACGCATTACAGAAATGTAAGTGAAGGAGACGGAAAAACACTTGGAGCTAGATACAACTTGCAGTTTGATGTATTAATAAAGAAAATGTGACTACAAATCCCACCTAGAAAGAAAACCAAAACAAACTCCAGAGGTGCCCTGTGAAACCTTCAACTCATACACTACTCAAAGTGAGAAGTAAGACATCATCTTTGCCTTTAGATTTTAGGAAATTCAGACTGTTGCGCAGTGGGAGCTGTGTCCCTAGAAATGCGAACAGAAAGGATATCTTTGATTATAAACTATGCAGCCTGAACAGTTTGGTAAGCAAACACACAGAGGCAGCTTTCTTGCTCCCTCTGTTACTGCAAAAAAACATGAGAAATCCACACTTCAAAGTCCGTGGATGACATTTCAAACAGCAGTTTCCTCATCACTGCAGTCTGGACTCGATCTGAAGAAGCTCCTGGGGGAGATGAAGATTACCTAAAAATATGTCATGAAGGCTCATCAGTAAGCTCAGAGGAGCCACAATTTCTCGAAAATCTAAGAAGGCTATATCCGTCCATCTTAACTATCATCACCCACAACGGCGTTTAAACTTAATAAGCAAGTTAAACACCAAAGGCTTGCTGAAAATAAACCTAACTGATAAACAGTGTACTTAGATGACCAGGAAACTCTAGGTCTACATGAAAGTGTGCCAGGCATGTGACAGTAGAGCAAAAGAATTAGGGATGCCACAGTATGAGCAAAGCAAGGGAAAAACTGGAATA